TCGGTGAGAGTTGATAACGCCAAAAGGCGATAAACAAAAGTGGCCGATGTACACAATTTTCAGACACTGGTCATAGTCCACGTAACTTATATATTATCTACATTATACTAGATGAGAATTTGACACTATCTCTTGGTATGCAAAATAATAGTGACTTATCAAACGTTATCAAACAATCACTGATAATTAGTGTACGTTGACCCTTCAGATCCCTACTCTTTTCACGTACAGCAGTCGACGTGTTTCGTATTTTATAACGCCGTCTAAACCCCATAGGGGAGGTAAAACTGGTCAGTTATAGCTCTTCTTTGCGGTTTCTGAAATCTACCAAACCAATACACTCTACTGTGAAACATTGTGTCAACAATTTTATTTACTTTGAAAAAAGGTTCGTGAAACAACAGCAACAACCAATATACCAACACCAACAACAACACCATCATTGCTACTACCACTACTACTACAACAAATAACGATGATGAAAATGAAAACGAGAAAAACGATGAATAGTATAACATTATGAACAAAATAACAAAATTAATAAATTGTTTGTTTTTTTTTTATAAAAAAAGTAGGAGGAAAAAACAGTTCATTACCTTTGCATCCTTCCTCTAAATAATTTGTTTTTATCAACAAATTGAATTCTCAAATTATCTACTATTTTACACTAGCCTACAGCGACTTTGCAAAAGACATTTTAATGACGGCTAATTGGAAATAGATTAACTTATTTTCCAAGATCCCTCCAAAAGTGTCTTACCCATTTCCGTACGTGTTTATGATATAAGACAGAGGTGTGATAATTAAAATAGAAATAATATTGGATATGACCCAGATTAACGCACGTGGTCACTGTGTGATCAGCATATATATATATATATATATATATATATATATATATATATATATATATATATATATATATATATATATATATATATATATATATATATATATATATATATATATATATATATATGTATATATATATATATATATATATATATATATATATATATATATATATATATATATATATATATATATATATATATATATATATATTCTCTAAAAAGTGTACAATAATTACTTCAAATGAAGAGTATCACGAACTGTTGTGAGTTAATTTTACCTTTACCATACATTTTACCTACTAGAAAAATATATTCAATGACCTTCAAGGCTAAACTAAAAAGCATAATATTGATGTGTCATAAATTATAATATGGATATGTCATAATATGTAATATCAATATGTCATAAATGTAATATTGATATGTCATATAATATTATATTTATATGACATAAAATATAGCATTGATATGTCAAAAATGTATTATTGATATGTCATAAAATATAATATTGATATGTCATAAAGGGTAATATCGATATGTCATAAAATGTAATATTGATATGTCATAAAATAAAATATTGATATATCATAACACTTTTAAAGTTGCGTTTCATCCCAAAACCAATTCAAAAATTAACATTTGTTACTCAGTACTGAACTTTCCACTGAGTGACAATCAATACAAATCATATATTAATCTGAAATACCTTCAAAGACGACTTCATGGTGAAGTTCTTGTCCAAGGTTCACTGGCATGTTTTTAATGGCATGACTGTCGACAAACCAACGTGCTATGGAACACAGATTTCACTTCCGAATCATCACCAAGACCTTATTACTCACTGTGCAATGTCACTGAAACACACACAGACAACCACACCATAAACTTATATTCTAAAGAAAAAACTATTGCCTATAAATCCATACCAAGAAAGCCTAAATCTAACTCTTGTATTACCGCCAAATGTAGACAGGAAAAAATGCTCTAAAAATAGATTAGGACTACATTCGTGGGTACTAAACTGGAAATACTAATTGTGTCCCGATGCTTAAAAGGCCCAGTTTGTATGGCCAATTTTAGTCAAACGTTTATATTTGCATGCCACACTTATTTTAACTTGATACATGAAGTAGTTTGGAATTTCCTTGCAAAGAAGACATGTGACAGATGTCAGAAAGTATGGTACAAGTTGTGGTCCAAGTGTTCTTTGTTGTTGTTGTTGTTGTTGTTTTTGTTGTTGTTTTTGTTGTTGGGCTTAACGCCATTTTTCAGCACACGAGAGGCTATACATGGCGGCCAGTATTAATGGTGGAGGAAGAGACCGGGAAATCACCGGATAGAACCACCGAACAACGAGAAGCTACTGACAAGCTTTCTCACATAATTACATTCACCGAATCCTAGACTCGAACCGACGCAGACAGAAGTGAGATGGTAGTGATCCGTAACGTTCAGCGTTTTAGACCTCTCGGCCACACGGTGCTCCCTAAGAGTTCTTTAAAAACCCAAACTAACTTTGCTATATCTTCCTTATTTACAGGAATTGTTCAATGCAGTAAAAACCCAATAGTAATACCTGATAAAGCCTGTCTGAAAATGTGTTTGAAATAAAAAAAAATATATTAAATTTAAAAAAAAATAAAATAAAGATTTAAATTTTTGAAAACTTTTTTTGAAAAATTAAATTTTCATGCAAGTTATAAAATTCAATTTGACAAATATAAGACATCAAAGTCGAATAATGAATGGTATTTAAAACAAAAGGTAGTTTGGGTCTGTACAACTGATAACGTTTTTCCCAGGGATACTGAATCATGATAGCTCACAGCGATTTTGACAGCAAATTGCGATATGCCTATCAAGATGCATATAAAATAAATAAACAATGACAGGTGTTATGTTCCACATTTATTGTGTCAGGTACTTAGACAGTTGTTTGCATAACTAATGGTTCACTCAAATTTTAAGTTTTGATGGGATCACTACCAAGTTTTATAGCGAAAATGCATTCCATTTCAATGTCGATAACGACAAAAGGCGACAATGTGATAAGACAAAAAAAAGTTTCAGGGAGGTTCCACCTTACTGAAAAATGGTGCGGATCTCTCTCATGAAGATGTAAGCCATGTCTTTGAGGTGCTTTATATCAGTGTGCTGATATCAACTTATCTTTGTCACTTATGGCAGTACACTGCTCGTGTCCTTATGAGACCTTGCTATCACCACTAGACTACTGGAGAGCTTCCAAACTGATCCAACTTTAACTCTTTTTTCCAGATACCAGGCTAAACCTAAAAATATATAACACGTTTCGCTTAATTCTAGAAAACAGTAAGATGTAGGCAAATGAAGTTAAAATGTGTTAGATATGGTGATTTCAAAATAACATTCAGGTTGTAAATATAGGAAAATAATAGTAAACTTGACAGAGTGACACTCAGAAATGTGAAGAAATGGGCATGTATTAAAGTAATAAATGCATCCTAAAATATAGCCGACGTTTCTAGAAGCATATTTGGTCTATTCCAGGTTAAATAAGTAATCAGGTAGAGTATGTATCATAAAGTTTAATGCAATGTTGGACCGGTGAGGTTTGATCATTGGTGCAAACATTAGTACATACCAGTGTACAGTAAAGTCAAATGACAATTTACCAAATTAAAATATATTACTTTAAGAAATCTTATTCATGAGGAAAATAACAATTTTGGATATTGCAAGTGAATACAGCCATATGTGGCTACATAGATCGACCATAGGTACCAATAGATCCTAAAGCATCCACCATATGTGAAATTGTGATCCCTAAAACTTGTAAACAAGGATGGACATTTGCATGTGTGGGACATATACAATGTACTGTTAAAATCATATGTGTAAACATAATTCAAATGATCTGTTTGATAATTTTTAGTGTATTTTAAGAGTGTTGGTAACCAATTATTGAGCTCAATGATTCAGTGGGATCAGATATCAGTTGATGCTGCAATACCACATTCTGTCAAAGTCCTAACTTGAAATGTGTTACCATACATAGGTATATTCATGATGAAAAAAACATTTTGGGATAGTTGAAGTCCACACAACCAGAACTGAGTTTTACAGATTCACTATGGGTGTAGTGTCAGCCTATATGATGTACTGAATGTCAACTTTTAATTGCAAACATTCTAAAATATATGGATATTTGTTCATGTCCTATATGAAACCATGTTAAGATTAGTTATACAAAGTTAAATTCAAACAATCTGTTTGAATATTTCTTATGTAATCCTTAGAGTGTCAGTTAACAAATATTATTAGTAATTAATAATGCATAAAGCAAAATGGAGCATTAGAATTCCCATAATATCATCTAGGCCACAATGCCGCACAACACCAATCAATATCTTCACGAAACTAAACTATAAAATAGAATGCATTTTGTGTTCAGCTTACATCATTTTGCTGTTTTCTTACACACAAGGGTAAATATACCTGAGAAAGGTATATTGTATCCCTTTGATCTGTATAAAGTTTTCATCTCTGTCCTCTCACTAAATGCCCTATAGCTATGCTTATAAACAATTTATGATAGCTATACAATCATATATGTGTTACTCAAAAAGTCACCCCATCATAAACACATAAATTAACTGTTATGTAACCCTAATAAATAGTTCCAAGGACGTAAAGGAACAATTCAAAATAAAATTTTGTCTTCATGTATTTAAAATGAAGGTTTTATTTTGATTATATATATATATATATATATATATATATATATATATATATATATATATATATATATATATATATATATATATATATATATATTCTCACAAAATTTGACAAATATCCATCATCAAAGCTTGTATATGGTGTATGAGTCTATACATGCTGATATCATTCCCAGTAAATATTAGATATGTGCATTGCTGGGGAAAAAATTTATTTTTTAATTTTCTTAAAATTTCATTTAAATTTTTAAAATAATTTTTTTTTGTTACCTTTAATGTATTCTTATATTTCAAAGTCAATTTACATAACATGTTAAAATTTCATGTGTTTATCATTAATAACAAAGATTTTATACCAATTTAAACTTTACTCAAATGCTGCACTGACAGGCAATAGAACACAATTAATTTTACAACCGCTCCCTCCGGTGGCCTAGTGGTTAGAGCGTCCGATTTGGATGCAGGATGTCGTGGGTTCGATCCCCGGTTGAGTCATAATAAATACTTACAAAAATTGGTACTAACAGCTGTCTCGCTTGACGCTCAGCATTAAGAAGTTAGTGTTAGGACTGGTCGGCCTGATGTCAGGATAATGTGACTGGGTGGGGCATCATGCTACATGTCTGCGGCAGGATGCCCCAGTGCTAGACATCACTATAAACTGCCACATTGCAGACATCGTAGCGATATGACTGAAAAATTGTTAAAGTTACGTTAAAAATCATAATCACATCACTATTAATTTTTCTATATATTTTCTACATTTGTTTCTAAGTACTGAACTTACCACTGTTTGACAATCAATACAAATCCTATGTGAATCTAAAATACCTTCAAAGATGACGTCATGGTGAAGTTCTTGTCAAAGGTTCACCGGTATTTTTTGAATGACTTGACTGTCAACAAACCAACGTACAGTGGAATAGAGATTTCACTTCCGGATCATCACCAAGACCTTATTACTCACTGTACACTGTCGCCGAAACACACACAGACAACCACACCAAAACGTATATTCTGTGTTGTGTGTTGTGTTGGCATCCGTCCGTCTTCGAGAGACGATGGTGTAGCTCCCTCTTTTGGTGCCTTATCTGCACCGTCGCGAGTGGCTGAAGAGCCCGACCCTTTGTTGCACTTGCTGCAGGTGAAGATGGATTCTAAAGAATAAACAATTGCCTTTAAATCCACACCAAGAATGCCTAAATCTAACTCTTGTATCACCACCAATTGGAGACATGAAAAATGCTCTAAAAATAGACTGAAACTACATTCGTACTGAACTGGAAGTACTAATTGTGTCCCGATGCCATATGTAATTTGTGTTCAAGTGATTGCTTTTGCCTTACTCAAATTCTATTATATGTACATTGTGTTCAAGCGATTGCTTGTCTTCGATTGAGTAAACTACACTTCTTCAGGAATTCCGGCATGTAAACGATGAAAAAAGAAAATTTCAACCAGAAACAATTTTAGACAATAAATTTAAGATGCAGTGGAATATTTCAACCGGAAAACAGTTGGAGACAGTATGTTCAGCATGTAATGGAAGATTTCAACCAAAAAAACATTGAGACAGTAAGTTCTAGATGCAAAGGAATATTTCAACTGAAAACATTTAGATTATGATCTATATATCATTAGGTCGATCTTAATATCAGACTTTTTCTGATAGTCCTCAAACAGTTTTTAAAAAATGGCGTGCATTTAATCGTTGTGATGTGTCGAATATGGAAAACTCTTAGAAGCTTTGTTTAAAGGAATTGTATCAAAGTCAACTTAATTAAAGTAGAAAGAGCTAGAGATAGTTAGATGATTATTTTCATTTCATCTCTGAACGTCAAAAGGGAATTCGTTCTAGCCGACGTAACATGACCGAGTCAGATGCTATGGTACAAGAGAATGACATAAGACCTTTCCCCAAAATCGGCAGGGTAAAGGCGGCATCTGGCTATAGATGATAGCTCAAAGTAAATGATTAATTACGGCATGATTATTTGCTTAGTTTTCTGGTCAATCCAAACATTCTACGAACAGGTTTAGGAAACTGTCTATTCCGATTGGTTAATATGGATTTATGGGCGTAACTCTGTAAGAAATTAAAGGTTTTACTTTAGGGAAATTCTTTAGTCGTCTTCGATCTTTCGCAAGGAAAGTTAGTATGACTCCGAAATTCGTAGAAAGTACGTTTTCGTTATTGAGTAAGGGGCCGGATAGTTCTCTCAGTTAGGAGACGGACTATACGTGAGGTTCGTGGAAACATAAAGAAACGGCAAAAGGTACGCAATCTTAGTTTCCCGATTTTAATGTTATTTCATTTGTTGATCTATTTTGCAAATGTATTCTTGATATGATGTATGTATGTATTATTTCATTTTTCAGGATTTTAGTGAAATGCCTAGTCATGACATTTTATTCTTTGATTTTCTAATTATCAATTCATTTGGAGAATTGGCAAGATTGAATGTAATTAAAATTTCATTAGATTAGTTGAAAAAATATTGCATGTAATTGAATCTTGAATACATAGGAGTGATTAGGAATATAAATGAATTAAGTTTAAGGAATGATGGGTAATATTTCATAGTTTTATGGATTAACTCTGTCTAAAATGAGTATGACCTAACATTACATGTATATTCATATACTAGTTTGTAATATTTAATTGATCACTTAAGTGTATATCTATATGCTGGTTTGTAATATCTAATTGGTCGAGTAAACTATTTTAGAATAGTTAGATCTGAGGGTCTAAGCAGATGCAACTTAAGACTGCTAGATTGGTAGAGTCAGCAGTCGAGTGGGGGTTACATACGGGTTCATACGGCTGAGTTGAATTTAATGGACATTCCTAGCGTGACCCTAATTGAGGTCAGGACATGCATCGACCGTTTATGTAAACATAACAGTTAGCTAACAGAAGTTACTGCGGCAGAATTTATGCCTTTTGTTTTCTGAGCCGAATTAATGTAAAATATAGATATATTTGGGAATGTGACCTATTGTCTATTGCGAGACATTTTTATTTATTGAAGGAAACAGCTTTCCTGGATTCACATGAGAAATCCCTGAACAATCACTGGACGAGAACAAGATCTACGCAGAAATCTAAGTCCAGAGACGTGTGTTAAGTCAGAGTTCGACGGACAAGAGTCCAAGACGAAAAAGCTAGACAAAGATCGACAGAGCAGGGAAGAACGGAAGTCTTGATGTCTGCATAAATTAGGTGATGAAGTCTCTCATCGTTACACTCAAAGGTCACATCTCATTGGCAATGAGGATAGCAATTTAAGGTTGAAAGCAATTTTACATTTAAAGAAATTTGTATTGTCTTTTTTGTTTGAGTACATGTTAGTACCATTTTCCTTCTTTTGTAACTAAGTCATTGATTTCTTTTCATTTTAAATTCTGTTGATAAACTGATTAAATTTTATATTTGTTCATTGAAAGAAGGCTCGTTTTGTTATTTCTTCAATATACTCGTTCAGTGATCTGCATTCTTCTTTCTATCTATCCACACTGGGTAAACTACACCGCGGAGGTCATTCCCTAGCAACGAAACGTAGTGAAAAATGTTGGTGTGTTTTGCACGCCGCCAATCTGTCACAATCGTATAAGGGCCACCTAGATGAATTTTCTAACTTTTACACCATCTATACCTCATTGACAAACTAAATACACCAGATCCCAATTTTGCGCCAGTTTGTTACACAGTAATATTTAGAAAATAAACTGTATTGAAATAATGCATGGTGGACTCCTCCCACTTAAAATGTAACCCCATGTCTTCTAGCACAATACTTCGTCATGTTCTACTTGATAGCTGCCGCCATTAATTCTTCAACATAAATAATCTCATAAGGCCGAGAGGTCTCAATTGACGTCATGTTGAATACTTATTCCTTATTCCTTTTTTTCCCGACAGATTAAGGAATAAGTAACTGGTTTAATAAGTAACCAGTTACTTATTCCCGATTCAACTATTTATATCTACATTTTTATTATTCATTCTTTATTATAATTAATTGATTATAGCTTACTTATTGAAGATTAAAAGCTCTTCGTGGCTGGCATTGGTGTTGTTTTAACCCAGTTAGAGAAATACGAGTGTTCATTGGTGCCAGTTATATAAAGCAGACTATATGAAGGTGTTAGCATATTGGTGGGTATACCTAATCAGTAATTTGAGATACAATTAATTAGTTGTGTTAGGTGTTTTGGTCGCGTCCTGCAGTGTATGGTGCGAATTAATAATTTTCAGATTCCTTAAACTTACTAATGACTCTAGTAAACGTGAAACTACAACAAACCATACAATTGTGAAATTTGAGATTTCACTTTCGTATTCATAATATGCTTAGAGAAGTATTATTTCAAGTATCTACTGCTTTAGTAAGCCTTCAGTTGACATCGACTGTTGTCTTGATTTACTTTTAACTGGGTAAATTTGCATACGGCCAGGTATATGAAACACACTCAGTATGGGTCATATTTATGAATACTTTGTACGTCTCATGCGTTCGCCTAAGTTACATACCACTCACAAATTTCACATGACTGCGTGAGTGCCAGTCTGAGCTGAACAGCATGAGTATGTGAGAAAACTTGCCAGTAGCTTCCCGGGGGACCGTAGGTCTCGCAGTAGTCTCGAAATATACTGGCCGCCATATTTTGTTTTCATGCGTTGAAAAAGAAACATGACCAAATTCTCCATCAAAGTCTATAAAGCATCGGTTTAATGAAGAGACTTTGTTTGCAGTTCAGATTTATTTCCCAAATGAAAGATGACAGGTAGGTTCTCTCTCTCTCTCTCTCTCTCTCTCTCTCTCTCTCTCTCTCTCTCTCTCTCTCTCTCTCTCTCTCTCTCTCTCTCTCTCTCTCTCTCTCTCTCTCGTAAAGTCGTTCGTGACACATCCCAATTTAGCACAATAAATTTAGGTAAGAACGTCCCCCACCTCCTTTACTTCAGTACTTATTTAGCAGAAACTTACAGCTATAGCTGTTTTCCATGTTTATCAAAAGTTGTGACAGTATACTGTGCCAAACCTATGTTCTTTGAGACGCCACTATGACCAGTAACGTATCTTGACTAATAGTAAATGGTTGGGTCACTAATTGAAAGGGTCTCATTAGCTATACATGGGGGGATTCTCTAGGTTCCAAATATAATATAATTATATACTTCATAAAAACTAAAAGAGGAACACCAACAATACCAACAACAACAGCAGCGATAATAATAATAATAATAATAATAATAATAATAATAATAATAATAATAATAATAATAATAATAATAATAATAATAATAATAATAACAATAATGATGATGGTGATGATTATTTCATCATTGTAATAATAATAATAATAATAATAATAATAATAATAATAATAATAATAATAATAATAATAATAGTGACAGTAAATACTAGAGCCAACAGAAGAAGAAAAAACCAAGAACAATAGCAAAAACAAGACAAACGGGAGAGTTTAAGTGC